GCACTCGACTCTATCCTGAGCAAATGTGTAAATCTATGTAAGGTTCTTTTTTTCTTTTTTTTAATTTAGAGACAGTAATTTGTTATAACATAATTCTCGGATCTACATTTTCCAAGGTTAGGATTTTTTAACCTGTTTTCCCCCCAATACAGTAAGCTGTTTTCTGCTGTCTAGGAACAGGAAATGAAAGCGAAGAATGAGCACAAAGGAGCAGTGTCTACTGTTGCTTCTTTAACATCTTCAAAATATATTTGAAGTTATATCACTAATCAATGTACACCTCCCCCTCTCCTCCTGCAGCTGCTTTAATCTGTACTATTGCCATTTAAGAAATGTATAATATAAGACCACTATAGCTTTTGCCACTTTGCTGACAGCCTTTTTGTAAATATAATAATTTTAAAGGGATAATAAGGTAGAGATAGAAAATACAGAGTACATTCAGAATTAGCATTTGCAGAGTATATAATTAAGCAAGAAGGAGATGTTGAATCTTAGACTGTGGAGGAATCAACAGCTCTTCCCCACTCAGGCACTGAGAGATCAGGATTCAGCCATATCATCAGGCTGGTTTTGCCAAAGTCGTCCTGCAGAAAAACTTTTTTTTTTTGAGGCATTCTTTATATATCAGAAAAGATCTGGAAAAGGCCCAATTTATTCTTCCTGTGTCACCATTGCAATTATATATCCTGTGTCACCACTCCAGTACGCCTAAGAGCTCACCAAAGTCATCCTGCAAGAAGGGTGAGAGCCATGATCTCTTTTTTTCTAATGAAAAAGAGGCAGAGAGAGATTTTGGATTGAGAAGAACTTTGAGACTTAGTTTATATAGCACATAAAGGAGAATTTAAGATCACAAACGTTTGCTATTCATTTCACCTTTAAGATTTGTGTTCAAGAAAAAGGTCATATAATTGCTTATTTAAAACTATATTTGGATGCACAGCAGGCCAAATGTGCCCATATGTTGATGGTACTTTATTTTGTTAAATGTAATACAACCCTTCTGCTGGGAAGAAAACCTAGGAGAAAAATCATCTATCCAAAGTAATAAGAAAATGGATAGTAGGTTGTTTCATGCAACATCCATGTAAGAAAATGGATTTTATACACATAAGGACTTGTAATTGTATTATTAGCTAAGTATTATAAATATTTTAGCAAGGCTACTTGATGGAATTTTTTAATGTTCTTTAAAAAAAAGAATTAGCCTTTATCATTAAAGGAGTGAAGGTCTTCTGTTTCACTGAAATTAAGCAGTCCTGCTAAGCATATACTGGCTTATTTTCTAGGCTCACTTTTATTCCAGCTCTGAGTGGGAAACTTCAGGAAAACTTTCTTAAAAAGCACTTGAGTTGGCTAATTTGTTACTTCATTTATATCAAGAAGAACAAATTGAAAAATCTGCCAACCATGGCCACCAATGCAAGTCCTGCTGGGCTCCCACTCAAACAGATGGCTCGCTTTGCCTCCTCTGTGATGCAGAAATGGGGGATTGATAGTTTCAAAGGTAGGAAGTTCTAGACCAACCTCTTATATGACTTATATGACCTTGGGCAAATCAGTTAGGGCTAGATACACAAAGGGATTAGGTGCTGTAACACCTGATTCCTAGGTATCCTGCCTCCCAGTAGAATTGACAGCCCTGAGCTAGGCACCTATGCTCCCCATACATTGTATGGAGAAAGTTAGATTTCTAAAAGGATTCATAGAAGTTGGGAAGCTGAGTGGGGAGTTACCTAAACTAGCTAGTAGGAAATGCTGAGGAAACGGCTGTGGTCTAGGCTCAGCCTCTCACAGGAAGTTAGGCCCCTAACTCCAGGTTGGAGGAAGGTATCAATCACCACTTGGGATTCACAACTGTTAACCCTTTCCTGGATTTAGGTACTTAAGTCAGGTCAGCCCTTCCTCAATAGATTCCAAGGCCAGAAGAGACCATTGTGATAGTCTAATCTGACCTCTTGCATAACACAGGCTATAGATCTTCCACAAAAATAATTCCTACAGTGTATCTTATAGAAATCATCCACGACAGCCCTTGGAAATAACCATTAGAACAATTTAAGGGTCATGGTGGATTCTCCACTGCTGGCAGTGGCACTTAAAAATCAAGATTGGATGTTTTTCTAAAATTTATCTATAGGAATTATTAGGGGGAAGTTTAGTGGCCTGTGTTATACAGAAGCTCAGACTACATGGGAGAAAGACCCCATTGCACCAATGGGTTATGGCACTCACCTGGGCGGTGGGAAGACCTGTTTTCAAATCTCCACCTGATTTGGAGCAGGGACTTGAATCCAGATTTCCCACAGTCCAGTTGAATGGCATAACTACCAGACTATTGGATATTTGTGGGCAGTCTTTCTCAGTCTCTTCTGCTGAAGCAGTTACACTTTCTATAAATAATTAAATATTAATTTGGTGGCATGCGAGCTGATTTTCAGGGGCACTCCCACTGCCTGGGTCCTGGCCACCGGTATGGGGGGCTCCGCATTTTAATTTAATTTTAAATGAAGCTTCTTAAACATTTTTAAAACCTTATTTACTTTACATACAGTTTAGTTATATATTATAGACTTATAGAAAGAGACCTTCTTAAAATGTATTACTGGCACGCAAAACCCTAATTTAGAGTGAATAAATGAAGACTCAGCACATCACTTCTGAAAGGTTGCTGACCCCTGATCTAGAAAATGTTTTTATGAACACAACTCCCAACCTGCTAAAGCACAGATATGACATTAGCCTTTACAATATGTATTGGGCACATAATGATGAACATAACACAACAATAGAAGATGCTGCTTGATAATGGGGACTTGACTTTTAAATATGCTAAAGTTTTCTATTACCTCAATTTTAGTATTTCTAATGTTAATTTGTGGTGCTAAAATCTGGAAGATACCAGGTTTGTGTGTAACAGAGATCTGTTTGTGGCTAAAATGAGTGATATGCCCAGTAATAGGTGTAGCATGCATACACAGCTAATGACAATCCTGTAATCAACAATTTTTCCTCTATAACTCAGGACCTTTGATCAAGTGGATACAGAATTTGAGATATTAGACACTGTGCACTGATTAAATCAACTTTTGAGCTTTCATCTTCAGTCTTCTTGTACTGTTTGGCACGTAAAGTGATTCAGTTCCTTAATCATTGTTCAGCTCATAGTAAGTTTCCAGCTCTGCTGTTTCCCTATTTTCCTTCAGTTTTTGCTGGACAGGATTGTGTTCAAGCTCATTTTGAAAGTTAACTAAAATTTTAATGTAAACAGAATTTTTCTTTAGTGTCTCCAAAACCTAATATCAAGTTAGGGAGAATGAGTGAGAGACATTCCCTAGATTTTAGCAGAGCACTCAGGAATTGGAAAATCTGCAGAGCTCCACTAGAGAGACACCAATCTGTATGGCCTTGTTGATTTGAAATCTGATAAGAACTTTCCTAGAAAACTGCACTTAAATGTGCTTTTTATTAGAAATATGCTAACAGAATTTCAAATCTAATTGTAGTCTGAATTTGAGAATTTTCAAATGGCTTAAACTGCTATATTTTAGGCTATGTCTACACTATCACTTATGTTGGCAAAACTTATATTGCTCAGGGATGTGAAAAAACACACCCCTGAGCGACACAAGTTTCACTGGCGTAGTGTGCACGGCGCTATGTTGGTGGGAGAGCTTCTCCCAGCAACATAGCTGCTGCCGCTCTTTGAAGTAGTCGACGGTAGAACTCTCTCCCGTTGGCATAAAGCAGCTATATGAGCGATCTTACAGCAGCACAGCTGCATCGGTACAGCTGTAAGCTCGATAGTGTAGACATGGCCATAGAAACGTGGTGTAAAATCAACTGCATTTCAAAAGACCATGCTCTGACAATTTTGTTACAAAAAGCAGAGGCTTTAGCTTTCACTGAACACTACTCAACTGTAGCTGTTTCTGCTTTTAGTAGAATCTTTTGGTAGCATTTTGGTTCCCCATCTATAAGGATTTTTTGTTTGTTTAGGCCCTTCTGAGACTTATATGGGAATAAGATAGAGAGGAACACTATCAGTTCCTTTTCTTTTGTCTCATACAAACTGGCCTAACTTTCTTATTATCTTTTTTCTAGGCAATAGGAGGGAGGTATTTGAATTCATGTTTGGATTACTCTAGTTTGGATACTTGATAATATATTTTCACAATAAATTATCATTCCTTCTTAAATAACTTTTTTCTTGATGAATTCTGTATTTTTATGCTTCCTTGAATACTGTTTCTACAATATTTGTAATTACTAGTTGGAAGGCAGGTGATATCAGAACTGTGGTGGAGCACCCTGTGTCTGTAGGGTGACAGGTTCTCTTCAGGGGTAATATTCCATCTGTGAAGGAACATGGGCAGATGAAATGTTATCTAAATAAAAAAACACATGTATTCGACATTTTTTTTCTGCTTGCTAGAAGTGGATTGTGTAATCCTGAGGTGCCGACTTAACATGGGAACTAGCACAAAGGAATTGACAGATACTATTTGTTTTTTATATACACGGTAAGAATACACTATGCTAAACAAGTATTGGGAAAATTGTACCAAAGTATCTACAGACTAAAGGCAAAATGCAGTACAACAGAGAATAAACAAAGTGGGGTAGTGTTTGAAAGGACAATTTCTCCTTTGTGTGAGATCAAATTGTGCTGATTTTGGACTAATAAAACACAGTGTTGTCAACTAACACAAAGAGAGTCTACCCTATTCTGAAAAGCCAAGGAAAATAAATGTTATAAGGAATGCTGTTAATATAAAAAGGATTTTGTTTTTGACACTGGTCTACAAGTATAGTAACCTTTTTAAAGGTTTGCCTATGACAGTGATTTTTGTGTGGATGCAGTGTGTTTGGAGACTTGGTTTTTCAATGGTTTGTGTATCCACCCACGACATACATGCTGTATATGTATGTGTCTCTCTGGATCTGAGTTTTTTAAGAGTTTTATTAATTTCTTTTTTTTCTTCTGTCCTTTGCAGTATATTGTGGAGTGTCATGGGATTACACTTCTTCCCCAGTTTTTTGGCATGTACCGGCTTACCGTTGATGGAGTTGAGATATATATGATTGTAACAAGAAATGTGTTCAGCCATCGTTTGTCTGTTTATAGAAAATATGATTTAAAGGTAAGAAATAACTTTGGATATAAATAATTGTTAAAGTAGTTAAAATCGCTAAAGTAAATATTAACTATTCTGTTGAGTGTTTTAGATGTTGGTTGTTGCAAAGCACAATCAAATCTATTAAATGAATATTGTTCAGAAGTTATGTTGGTTACTTCTAAAATAAAGAAAATGTGTGGTTAGCTAAACCGGAAAACATTTTTATACAAGTAACGCCATTTAAGCTGTATCATGCATGCTTTAAGGGAAGTGGTTTAGCAGAGTATGTTTGCTAAATGTAACTAATTGTTAATGGCTGAAACTAAAAACCACTGTGAAAATGTAATAATAATAATGTTGGCCTTCTGTTTCCGATACTCCCTTGATCAGCTTTGTGGGGGGCCACTGCTTATTTTGAAAAGGGCTTTTTGTAACATTTTAAGAGATGTAATTTACTAACACCACTTTAACATTTTTCATATAGAAATATCTATCACTTTATATAGTTTTCACAGTAATAGTTCTTTTGATATTTAAAATAAATTAAGGTAGAAACTTTTGGTGCCTGGTACCTCTACCAGATATGTTTCACCTGTTCTCTAAAATGTTTGGCTACTATTGCTAATTCAGCCAATATTTAATATATAATACTTAAAATGAATTGCCCAAATGTATTTTTCAATCTCTTTTCATAAGAGATGTGTTTTAAATTTCCTTCCCAAAGTCTCGCCTTATATTTCTAAACATTATTTATAGTAAATGTCATTCTTCTTTTGAGTGCTTGCTTATGTCGATTCCATTCTAGGTGTGCACGCGCCCATGTGTGCAATCGTCGGATATTTTTGTCGTGGTGGAATCCATAGGGCCAGCTGTGGCACCCCCTTGAGTACCACGCTCATGCACTGGTATATCAGGCGCCGCCAGCCCTGTGTCCTCTCAGTTCCTTCTTATCGCCCGTGGTGGTTAGTCTGCACGCCTGTCCTTGCTTAGCAAGGGCCAGCGTTTTTTCCCTCCTTTGGACTTTGTGCCTTAAGGCCTTGTATGTAGTTGATTCTTCAATAGTTAGTGTTAAGTACCTGTTCGGTGTTTAGTTGTTAGTAATTAGAGTCCCAGCAGGGACTTTGCCCCTGGCAGGGTATGCCCCAGTCTCTGGGGTTCAAGCCCTGCAGAGACTGTAACAGGCCAATCCCTATTAGTGACCCCTATGGCAGCTGTCTCAAGTGCTTGGGGGAGCACACGTAAAAGACAAGGGCCATATCTGCAAACGCTTTTGGCCCCGCGTTCGACTTAGGGCCCTCCTGATGGAGTCTGCCCTCCACCTGGCCTCTGAGCCATCTCGGCATGATTTGCTGAGCACTTCGGCATCGGAGCAAAGTGCACGCCCGGCACCAAGTTCCATTCTGTGCCATTCCTTGTCGCCGGTACCGAAGAAGAAGGCCAGGAAGGAACCGAGAGGGTATAGGGCCAGCAATGCCTGAAATACCAGCCCATGGGCGCAGCACTCAAGGGGGCACCATAGCTGAGCCTACAGATGCTGCTAAGGCAAAAATCTCCAACGACCGCACCCGTGAGTGCGCATACACCTAGAATGGAATGGACATGAACAACACATCTCGAAGAACAGCAGATATAAAAGGTGGGTAACTATTTTTTCAACACATTTGACTACATAAGTATGTCTGCAAGCTTATTCAAAGATTGTTACTTAGTTCTGTATATTACTGAGAGAAGTGTCATACTGCATAATGCATCATCCTTTACACCCCCTCCTATTGCAGACAAATAGCTACCTAGAAAAGATGTCACTTGGATGTTTCGTCCAAGCTTGATTTCTCAGAACTGACTAACAGTTGTTCAAGAACTGGCTCATCAGTGTCTAGCATTATGGCGTCTGTGGGAGAGAGTAAAACATGAGAAGAGATTACAAGGGGGAGAATGGGAATACTTCTTAATTGTGCTATGGATGCGCTCTCTCTCTCAAATGGAGATGCACATTCATGCTGCCCTTTAGCCCATCTTAAGTTAATCAACTGACACATGCCATATCTTGATCAGCAGGGAGTTTGTACTTAACCAAAAGCACACACGTATTGGGAGCCCTCCAAAGATATTTTAAAGAATGAGTCAGTAATCTATTGGTGGAATTAGAGATGGATAATTTATAAAAGATTTAGGGGAGTGTTCAATTTAGATAAGCATCCAAAAGTCCAGATGCTTAACCAATGATCTTTGATCAGTTCAAAATAGATTTTATCATAAGATTTCCAATACTTCTTGACTTGACCATGTTTGAAATACTAAAGGAAATGCTCACCTAATTTTATATTCTTGTCTTGGTCAAAACTTGGAACTACAGAGGCATTTCAAGTTAGAGGCCATTACTCATTTTATTTGAGCTGGTTTGCTCATCTGTAACTATCACCTTCCGTGTCAAACCAGTAGTTGGAATGCCTCCCTCTCTCATGACTCACCAAGTTTGTCTAATTTTAGACAAAACGCTCTCAGTTATGGGTAAGGGTTAGGGTTGACATGCAGTCAACATGTGCCATAATCAGTTTTGTTCCAAAAATGGGGACTTTGGCTTGTTTGTGTGCTGCTTGGTTATTTAATATTATGTATACGTATTATGGGATTGGTGTTTCTTCTTTGATTTATTGCATTTTTAAGTGTTTGTAGGGTTACCTACAGTGCTCCGATAGGAACCTCCTCTTATTGTATAAATGTGGCGTTTATTTGTATTGCAGTAGCATGTGGACACCCTAGTTTTATACAAATTCAATATACAAACACATAACAAAAAGAAATCCAAAGAAAAATTCAGTCACATTTTGCATTTCTATAAATAGCATTTGTTGCTAGTTATCTTTCCAGAACCTCTGTATTTCTATTAATTTGTCCAGCTAAAGGAGGAGAGGCCAAAAGTACCTTGGTGGTGATGGAAAAATTCTTGTTTCAGAGGTTAGGTTTATTCATCAGGATGAACTTTCACCAGACAGATTTATAATGACATTGGACATAGTAGTAGTAGAGAGAAAATAATCATTGTTTTCTAACTTTGTTTAATGTTACAGTGCTTGCAAAGTCTATGGGAGCAGAGTCCACTGTAGTAGCTGAAAGTTTTCAAGACACACCAGTTTAGAATTTACACTTCTGCTTTTCTGCCTTGGGTTACAAGGAACATCTAAGATTACTATAGCTAAAAGAGCTTAGAGACAAGGGGTGGGATTTTCAAAAGTACTCAGCATTGGCCTAACTCTGTTCCTGTTGAAATTAGTGGTAAAACTCCCATTAACATCTGTTGGAGCAGTTAGGCCAACACTGAGTGCTTTTGAAAACTGACCCCAAACATTTGGTGTAAAAAAATTTTCAGTTTGATTACTTCATGCATTTGACCACATTCTGTATATAGTCAGTGTCCCCAGTTGTTTGTGAATGCCTTTTGCACAGCAAGAGGGAAAAGACAAATATTTTTTATAAGTAAGAAAGTGTGATTGTAAAATCACAAAAATTGGCAAGATTAAGAGGCAAGGGCAGTACCTAAAACTACATTTAATTGATATTGTTGCAGTGAGTTTGATTTCAAGTGTCCCTCTAACTTTAGCTTTTACAAATTTTCATTTTTTATTTGTTTGGTTCTTAACTGATCTTTCTTTCTGACAAGTAACCCCTGGAAATGGATGGGAGTGATATGACACAGAACACAAAATAAAATGTGTAACTAACTAATTCAAAGGGCCTTTTTTCACTATTTTGGCAACTTATGATGTTGTGTAATGAAATCCCTGCTGAGTTGCCATATAATATAGCTAAAGGCCACTGTCCATACATCTGTTTTATGCATCCAGCTCCCCAGATATCTCTCCAGATAAAACACTGAAGTATTTGGATTTAAAATGTGTGTAGAGAAAGGTAAGGCTATGAATTTTTAGGATCACTAGAGATAGTATCCTCCTTTTCAGCATTTCTCCACACTGCATCCACAATGCAACAAAAATATAGTCAGTGAATGCTTTATAGATCTTGTGGGGCTGTTGTCTGCATGCTGTAGAAACACATTAATTATTTATTGTTATCCTTATCATTATTTTATTCCCGCATTGCCTACTGTGTGGGGGGGTACATTCAAAACACTTCAGAAGGACAGTCCTTGATCCAAGGAGCTCACAATCCAGGGAACATCCCTTTGTCACTTGCTGCTTATTCAGAATGCACAAGCATGTTTGCTCACTAGTTTAAGCAAAGACCATTTTAAAACAGCATTCAAAACCCTTTCATCAAACATAGTTAAATCCCACTGGTAAAGTCTTGATAAAACCACTGCTGATCCCATATTCTTTTGCTTTTCTTTTTAGCTTTAGAGCCCCTCTAATTTTATATTTCATAGTACTGCTGTAGAGTGCTTTCATTGCTTTTGTTTGTACTTCCTAATATTTTAAATACTACACAGTAATTCATTTTGTAAAGCATCCTGCATGTCTTAGCGAAGTGTGTTAAAATAAAATAGTATCGTTATTATCATGTATTCTCCATCCCATAGCGACACAGCAATATAGACATACAAAACTTAGAAATCTGTCAAAGAAAATGAGCCTCCCAGATGTTGTCTTACTAAGATGCAGTAGGATGAGATCTGAGGAGAGAAAACACAACAGGAAGAAGAGAGTGGTTGTAGAACGCTCAGTGATTTAAACGTACTTCCTCCCCTTCATGTGTGTCATCCTCTATTCTCTTCAAAATATCGCAGCAGGCCAAACTACCTGAGCTGTGTGTGGCAAAATAACCACTTTACCACATCTCTGCCAAACAGTCCTCAAGTTCAGGACATAGTTTTGCCAACCCATTCTGTGCCCAGTTCTGGTCCATTATCTTAAAAGTTTTAAATTTATTTCCTGTTACGTGCACATTTTTAGATCCAGTCTTTCTGTTTCAGGGCTCTACTGTGGCTAGAGAAGCCAGTGACAAAGAAAAGGTATGGTGAATTTGCATTTCTTGTCCAGTTACTTAGCTGCTAACCCGTTTTAGGACGAGTATGATTGGTGCTCTTGTGCACCTAACCTTTCTTTCACCTTCTGTTGTTCTACTGCTCTTTCCTCCTCTTTTCTCAACTCTGCTTCATCGACTGTTCTGTAGTGAGATTGTGACATCAGAGGTAAGTGAACTAATCCACCTCTTCTTCTCCACCTATCCTCTCTTTTTCCTCTCCTCTTCCCAGCTCCTCCTGTTCCTACCATGTGAAAAGCTTATTGTTGTGACTGTGGTATCAGAAAGTTTTCTCTTGTTTCCTTCCCTCTCTTTTTTCTTGCCACTTTTCATGCTGTAGCCTTATGGATAATCCATTTTATTTGATAGAAATGACATCCTTTCTAGTGTGAGTGTAACATTGAGACAAATTTTGAAATGTGGGCACCTCGGCATTACAAGTAAAGACTGTATGTGTGTGTGCAAGCTGGATAGCTGCGATCCTGTGACAGACTTGTATGCATATGCAGTTATGGCTGTTACCCACAGGACAGGTTCCCACTCCTTTTTTGTGGGTACAAGTTAGGAATCAGCTACTGAAAATGTTTCTCTAAAAGTAAGATCTCCACTCTGTAGTCTCTCTCTCCGTCAATGTCTTCTCAATTCTTTTGGGCACTTCAGTCTTCTTGGTTTTAAAATAAACTTAATTCTTAAATCTTTTTTGAATTACAAAACAAAATTTTGATCCACATTTTATTAATGGTTTCACATCTGTAATCAAATGCCCTGATTGAATAATAGATATAGGAGCAATTGTTGCAGGTATATACAGGAAATTGAATATTCCAATATATATTGTATATGACCTAGTAAATTGATTCCTAGCTATTTGAATTTCAAAATACTGGAAAAGATTAAGACTGCAGTCTGCTTATTTTCTTGTTTTCATACGTAAGCTCTGAACTTCCCCTTCCCCCAGTTGTAAGGAATTCCTGAATTATATCACTGTGTGGGATCACATAGCAGCGTGGGGTCAAAGACCCTGTTTTGCTTTGTCCCAGGACCCACTTTGGTATTTTGTTTAAATGGAGCATTAGTTACGGTGTCCTCTCTGGGCTTTGGAGCCCTCCTGTGTAAATCACACTGACGGCACTGATGAGTTGGAAACAGACGTGATCAACTGCTGTAGCGGTGAAAGCTACTAATGGCACGTTGTGACTCAAATAAAGGCTTTTGTTTTAGACCCATGAGAAACTCTCAGCTAAGTATTATTTTTCTCTCCCTTCCAAGAGGAAATGACTGGACAGTTCAGATCCTCATGCATTTTCTTTCAGCATCATCCATCTAGCAGCTCCCAAATGTGAACTGGGATCATCATGACAGCCAATATCTGCATTTATCTCCCTTCTGCAGGAGATCCCTCAAGACCACAGTTTGAACTGTCTTTATTTTTCTGGTCTATTTTTATTTTTATAGCATAACCACTCGTGTTTTCAAACCTTAGTGATTTAACCCTCCACTGTTTTGGAATGGCAGCTAATGCACAGTGAAGACATCTGCTTTCAGCACTGTGATAATTTAATATAAATGCAAACAACCACAACATCCCAGTATGTTAAAATAATATAAAATCAGACAATATCAAGGATATTCAGATTTCAATGGAGTGTAACTTTGAGTGTCCTCGTGTTGTAGAGAGTCTGTAGAATATTGGTATACATCACATGGGGGAATATATCCTGTTGGTACAAATACAGTTAGTATCTGTTAGGACTCTCAAAAACACTAAGTATTGACCTAATTTTGCTCCCACTGAAGTGCTGAGCAATTTCAAAAATCCCACCAATAATCCTTATTTTAACATAGGGTGTAATCCTGGCCCCACTGAAGTCTGTCATAAAACTCTCATTGATTTCAGTAACACCAGGATTTCATCGTTAATTTCTAATAGTTTTTCCTTCTTTAATGGTAACCTGAAAAATACAAATAAAAATGCTGCCAAAAAAACTTTACAGTTTAACATTTAAATGGCTGAAATTGTATTTTTTGAAAAAGGAATCTGATTTGTCGATTGTAAATCAAAGCAGGCCTAGTGTGGGTGTTCAGTGGGTGTTGTGAGCAGAGAGATCCTGCAGCATCAGGGCCTGAGATCAAATATTCTGCAGCTACAATACCCTCAAAGGCAATGTGATGCACTGATAAAATGACAGGTTAGCACTCTGTGTAGATTTTAAAAAATAATTGACAGGGCTCAGGCAGTATCTAAGCTTCGGAGAAAGAACAGCATTTCTTGGATCCATTTAAAAAAAGTTTGTTTTGCAAACGGTTCTGATCAATGGAAAAATTTCATTTTTATTTTGTTTTACGTTACTCTTTTTTCTATGAACACCAGAGTCTACCTGAGCTGTGTCAGTTTAAAAGGGCCAGGAGAGTATACTGCAATCTTCTATCGATCTTTACCATAGAGTCTTATAGGATCCAAATCACTGTGGTATCTAGATGACAGTATCTTCTGCTTCATGCATTAACATCCTGCAGTGTTTTAACCCAAAGTAATTTTATTCATATGTAAAGGTTACTATTTAAAGTGCAATCTTTTAAATCTCTGAATGTGTTTTACACAAAATATTTGTTTTCTATCTTTAAGTAGAGTAGTAGAATCTGGATTATATGTGGGTGAACCCCATGTGTGTATGGAACCCAGAAGGATTGTGAGGTTGACCTATGTGGATCCTATTGCAGGGTCAAAGCCTGGGTGTAGTATAAAGATTATATTGGCATGAGTTCGTGGTGGCTGTATTACTTTGAATGAAAAATGTAAACATTGCACAACATTACTTATTTTCTGTTTTGCCACAAAATAGAAGGTATGTTAGAAAAAAATTTTCTAATGATGCTGAGCGGGGAAGGAAACAAATGTTTGGTGATGTCAGATGCTTCTTTAAGAGAGCTAACTAAAAATGACACCTTTTAAAAACTAAATTTACATCCACATTTTCAAAGGTTGCATCTTCGGTAGGAGTAGAGTCTCAAACTACTCTTGAAACATGTAAAAGTGTCTGAAAAATTATAGTTTAAAAAGAAAAGTGAGCCATTTTTAGTTAGTTCTCGTGGAAGCCTCTGACATCACCAAAATATGTCTCCCTCTCCTGTTAAGTATCTTTAAAGGAATTGCTTAACTGATTCAACCAAAAAATAAAAGCATCTCACACCTTATCTGGTGTGGTAACTTATTTGCCAAGTTTTATCCTGATGCTAATTAAAATCACCTTCTGCAGTAATAAAGCCCTGAAATTACATTCAGAATGAAAGACTCACAATTAATAATGACAGGTTTCAGAGTAGCAGCCGTGTTAGTCTGTATCCGTAAAAAGAACAGGAGTACTTGTGGCACCTTGTTAGTCTCTAAGGTGCCACAAGTACTCCTGTTCTTTTTACAATTAATAATGTATTCTTAATCCATCCATAGATATTGTATCTGAGCAACAAGGAAGTATTAGAGAGAGGGAAGAGCCTTTTGTGGTGAAGACTTAGGGCTAAGAAGTCAGGTCTTGCTACAGATTTATTATGTGACCTTTAGGAAGTCACCTAAGCCAAAATTTTCAAATGATGATTAAAGATAGGCTCCTAAATTCACATTGAGGCACTCAAATGAGGAGCCTGATTTTGAGAGTTGCTGAGCACTAACAGCTCCCATTGAAATAATTTTGTGCAATTTCAATAGGAACTCTAGGTCAACATCATTCAGAACCGTGTGTGTTCAGCACCTCTGAAAATCAGGAGAGCTAGGTGCTTAATAGGGAGTCAAAATTTTAGACACTCGAGCTCAAAAATGTTGACCAAAATGGTGATGATGCTCAATATCTTTTTCTGTACATCTTCCTTCAGCAATTATAATACCTGTAAGTAAGAGGTAATCTGTTATGCCAAGAATTTTAATGCACCAGGAAAGTAATAAATCAGTAAGAAAAGCATATTCAATCTCTGTCTCTGATTTTCTACTGTAAAATAGTCCTCATGAGTCAAAAATTATTTTTTTCTGGAAGAGGGATCAACTGGAATGACTAATTATTGACAACTTTATTGCTTTCTGCACCATTCTCAATTTTTCTTTCATTTGACTTGTCACACCTGTTTAATCTCCTGATGTGTTAATGTTATTATTTTAAATATTTTGTGATCCAATCCTATCCCTTAGATTTCACCTTGACACACAATTCTTGTGATTTATATTAGGAGAGATATTTTAACAATAACACCATCACTTTCATGGCAACAGGTATCATAACATACATTTACAGATGTCTTGAATTTTAAAAGAACAGTACATTTCAACAGTTGTCAGATTCTGACAGCTGCTGCTTACTTTTTTATTCCTTAATTCTTTCTTTCTTTTAATAGAGGGCATTTCCTATTCATGCCTCGAACAGTTTTGCCCTCTCTAAGTGAGACAGGGATAATGTGGAACTCCCTGGTGGTCTCTCTTTTTCACAGCTGTGCTGCACTTCCAGTATGACATTAAATTAGTAATTATAGCTGAGTGTAATACTTCTTACTTCTGACAGTCTGAGCGCACTGCCAGCAAGTGAGCTGCTCAGCAGGGAATTTGGAGAAGAAAAAGAAAACATAACTGGACTGTGTCCTTTTTCCTAAGGAGGTTGCAGTGATTATTTAAACATCCTATGTTCCATTCTTGCTAGACAACCTTCAAACAATATTGGAACTAGACGTTAATATGCATTTTTATGCTTAATCTTCTAAAATCACCATATCACTGCTTGAACTGATATATACTATTACTCATAAAACAGTAACTAGATCATGAAAGCATAAATGTACTAATTAAAATGACTATGGGTTTGCTTTAACCTAAGAACTTTTCCATTGATGCTGGTTTTGAGAAAAAAAAAAAAGTTGCTGTTGGCAGTTGTAGATGTTTCTCAGCTATTATTACTATTGGCAGTTCTAACTCAATACAAAAAAGATTTGGTGATTCTTGGGAATTGTACG